GAAGACAAACTGCCACAGTTGCTACTGTATATCATCTGAGTTTGTGAAATTGTGCTTCAGAATCAGTTTTAGTAAGAAAGAAAGATATGATTTCTCTTTTGTCCCATGAACACAGTGTGGTGATAAGTATTAGGTTGTACGAAAAGACACAGCTGGTAATGGACAGATGTGAGGTTATTGACGGTTACATCCTCGTGTATGACTTCATCAGCCGACTTGTGGTTGTATCACAAGTCGTATCAGAAGCATTTCTCTCATTAATGAAATCAAAGCCTTTTTATTTTATGTATTTACTTATTTATTGTTATAAAGAACAGAAGCTATAGCCACAAAGATACTGTTTTCTTTATTTTATACATGTGACCCCTTCGTAAATCCTGTTGGCAGCACTGCATTTACCAATATAAGCAAAGATACAAAACACAAAAATACAGAGAAATCACTCTACAGTTTGTGTTGATCTCTGTCGCCCTCTGTTGTTCAGCTCTGAACATAAAGTTTTATTTGGGAGGAAAGGAAACTTTGCTTGCTATAAAAATCAGCCCATTTCAGAGCAGACCCAGAGCAGATAAAGACATGGACCCCTTTAAGTTAGCACCATATTTAAAACTTTTACCTTCATTAACTGCTTCCTGAACCTTCAACCCTGGTTCATCAGACAGGTACAGGTGGGAATTGTTTCTCTCTGAAGTTAATCTTCACTGACAGATGAAACAGTAATGAGTTCTTCCTGCCCTGCAAACAAAAACGAAAATTAATTAAGTAATTAATTAATAATGAGCAATTTCCCAAAAAGCTTCATATTAAAAATTTTATTTAACTCCTGCATGTTTCTGGATGTTTGTCTGATAGAACTGAATCTATCAAAAAGCTCTAAGCTCAAATAAAATGAACCTCCTTCTAACCACAGCTCTGCTTGAAGCTATGGTCCAGTAAACGTTATGAAGTGCTGTGATGGTCTGTCTCGCCTCCATTATTGATTGGCCTGTTCTCGCCATTTTTATAGCAGCACGCTACTTTCTGCTGTTTCAGTAATGCCAAAAATACCTTTTTAAGGTTACCTGGTCCTAATCCTTTAATCAGCACATTCCTGAATGTAAAGTATGACGCACATATGTAAAGTATGAGTCAGGCATCATGATAACATATTTCACTGCTGTCGTCATTACAGTGGTGTGACAACCGCATTATCTTAGAGCAACAACAACAACCATTTCTTATGAAGTGAAACTTTTTTTTTAAAGTGCTGGTTTCCATCAGGTCACATATGACATACAGTACTGTGAAAAAGTTTTAGGCAGGCGTGGAAAAATGCTGCAAGCAAAGAATGCTTTCAAAAATTGAAGTGCAAATTATTCATTTTCATACATCAACAAAATGCAGTGAATGAACAAAAGAGAAATCTAAATCAAATCAGTGTTTGTGTGACCACCCTTTGCCTTCAAAACAGCATCAATTCTTCTACGTACACTTGCACAGTTTTTGAAGGAACTCAGGTGGTAGGTTGTTCCAAACATCTTGGAGAATTAGACACAGATCTTCTGTGGATGTAATCTTCTTCAATATGGAAATTAGAATGAAAAATAATAATAATAAATTATATATATACTGCTGTCAATTGGAAACAGTTGCCAATAGTATCAGCGTCTTGCTTCAGCAAAGCTTGGCTGGCTGAAATCTGAGTGCTTCTAATGCTGTGGTGTTTTATTACAAAACACATGAACTCGGTCAAATAGTGCATTTTTGAATAAAGCCCTAATAAATTAATGGAAAGCATTTTAAACTCCTAGGACCTGGCGTCCACATCCGTGGAGATCACATTTTGGGTTATTTAGACCAAAATACTCAATTTTGTTCAACAGGGGCCTGATATCCACTTACGAGGACATTATACTGCTACTGTTCGATCTAAATGTTA